ATCCAGAAATGTACAAGCTTTATCAAGATTTTATGGACGAAGATTACACATGTGGCCATATGGAAGTTGTGCCACACTCGTATGATGCAGATTCAACATGTTATCTTCCTCACCATGGAGTCTATAAGACATCGAGTTCTACAACGAAACTTCGCGTAGTCTTCAATACTTCTAATAAATGCATGAGCGGAATATCTCTTAATGATTGTCTGCATATAGGTCCCACATTACCAAATGGTCTATCAAATATCATCTTGCAATGGCGACATTACCCTATAGTGCTTACATGAGATATCGAGAAAATGTATAGGCAAATTCTTGTTGATACCAAAGATGTGGATTTGCAAAATGCATTAAAACACTACCCTTTTTTGGGCACATTTTTTTGTGCATTTTTTCGAAAATATTATTAGTAAAATTTGTAATTGCACATCTAAATAAAGTTATTTATTTAATCGTAATACTTAAAATGTATTTTTTACCAACACATATAATAAATGTAAATGTCATTAGTAATTTTCTTTTTTATTTCCCTATCCTCTACATAATTATTAATTATTAAGTATATAGCGTTGCATAAGATAATAGTGCCTATTACGGATTGTGGATCGCTGATAGACAGTAGAAAAAGTTCTACTGCTGGTAGAAAAAATCAAATTTTGGTATTATGAATTGCAAGCCGATAGAAGTTTTTCTATCAGCAGTAGATAAATTTTTCTACTGCATTTGAGCAGTAGAAGTTTGTCGATCGTATAAAATAAATGCTGTTAAAATGCTTTATACAGTCAATTAAATATATAAATTTAATATAATTTTAATATTATTTATTTAATAGTTAGTAATAATTCCTTTAGATTTAATATAATACAGTATATCATTTAATATATCTGGTTTCAAGTGTAATGTGTTGTATGTATATTGAGTACAACGATTGTAGAATTTTTTGTTGCTATTTATTTATGTGTATTTATTCAAATATTTTCAACATACATACTGGTGGCTATTATGAAATGTCTACCGATAGACAATAGAAATTTGTTTACCGAGTCGATTGATAGGCAAATTTGGTATTATGAAACTTGATAGACAAACATTTGCACTATTGTGAATGATGTAAGGGTTTTAGAGCGCCCAGCTTTAATTAAACTTATTTTTTTAATTTTGTTCGCTAAGAATCATTTCAATTGAATTGAAATTCTTTATAAAATAAATATAAAATTAAAAAAAATGTCCACAGTAGATATTTGGTATTCGTCTTCATCGGAAGACGATGAAAATACAAATCTTCGTCTATACAGATGCAGAATTCGAGATGCAGCAAATTCACTGGAATATGATACACAAACGAAAATTCAAATGTAATAAATGTATAATTGTGATTAATATATTTGTTATCATTTAAAAGATTTATTGCTAGCTATCGCTTGAACAAGGAAGAGTTTCTGGAAGTGTTGCACGAAATTGACGGCCACTTGCAAAGCGGTACACAAGACAAGCGATTTCAAAAGTAAATAAGTTGGCTGCTTTATTAAGATTTATTGCGCAAGGTTCTTATCAGTTAGGAATAGGTAACGCGGGCATTGTTGGAATGGCGCAGTCAACACTGTCCGTAATAATTAATGAAGTATTGAATGCATTGGAGAGCACAATTTGTCCTAAGTATGTTTCATTTATAAATACAGAAGCAGAAACTTGTGCGACAAAGCTTTATTTTTATGAAAAATGTGGTATTCCGGGCATCATTGGCGCTATTAATGGTATACATATAAAAATTGTATCATTAAAAAAACACACAACATCTATATTTCTGCAGAAAAGGATATCACAGCATAAATGCTATGATTGTAAATAATGTTAATGTTCGAACACATGCCAAATTAATTTAAACCGTGCTGCAAGATATGTGACCACATAAGAAAGATAAGATATGTAAGTGCAAAATATCCAGGATCTTCTCACGATTCTTTTGATTTCAATATGTCAAATCTCAAAACGCATTTGGAAACTGAATATCAAAACGGAATCCAGAATACTTGGTTGCTAGGTAAATTTTAAGTAAAATATTAAAACAAATTATTAATTGAATTAATTTTTCAGGAGACTCAGGGTATCCCTTAAAACCATATCTTTTGACACCATGCAGAACAACAATTTAATAAGAAGCATGTCCTAGGAAGAGAGATCATAGAACGATGTATTGACACTTTTAAAAATCGTTTCAGATGCTTAATTGAAGCTAGAGGTCTTCATTATACACCAGAAAAAGCAACAAAAATTACATGTGTGTGCAGCATTATACAACATTTGCATTAAATACGATTTGTCCGAGCCTACACCACCAGATGTATATCAAGATAACGATGATAATGAGCCGGAAGATGATCCATTGGAAATTTCGAATGACAACTCGCCATTGGGCGCAAATCCGCATTTGTTAATGGACGAAATTGCACGTTCAATTATGCATTAAAAAATTGAAATTTAATTACATCTCTAAAAGTATAAAATCCAATTCAAATATTCTTAAAAAATATTTTATTAATATATATATTCATATATTAAACTTAAACTTAAAGAATCTAGAAATAATTTTTTATATTTATATATACTTTAATATTTTTATAATATGTGGTCATATTTACATATGTACATTAAAATAAATTAAATTAAATTAAATTATTAACATTAATATTTACTTTAAGCAGTTGAAGCTTAAGAGAGCGATATTTGTCTCTTTTGTCGGCATTTTCTTTAAATAGTCTTAATTTTTCTTCTTTTAGAGAAAGTTTCGATCACAATACTCTTGCTTTTTAATGCTTTCTCTTACTAAAAGATTTTCAATATTTTCTAGTCACCTAGAGACATCTTTATAAAATAGTTACTGGGCATTTCTTTGTACCTTTAGTAGCTCTAGTCTTGTCTGGTTAGAGGCTACCTTTTTCCGTTTTTTACTAGTTGGTGGCAGATAAACTTCATCTTCACTTTCTGCACTACCATTTCCCGCGTTTTGCTCTTCCACAATTTCGAAATTATTAACTTCATTTGGCAGCCCCAACTCAAAGCCCTTGGGATCAGTGGACTGATTTAGATCCACCAAATTATCAATGGCTTCCTCCATTGGACTAAGCGTTTGAACCAAGCTGGGACCACCCCCGGTTGCGCTGTGTTTGTGACAATTTTTTTTTTTGTTTAAGCTTTCAAATCAACCCAAACCTGAAAAAGAAATATAAAATAAAAGTGAAAGGTAATTAGTATTATGTGTGGTAGATAATTTTCACCTTTACCCACTTGTCCCACGACTTTATTGGTGGACCTAAACTATTTAGCTCCACCGCAATTTTCTCCCACGTTGGTCTGGAGCGTGCCTTGTTGCAAATACCTTTCGCAATATCTGGATATTTCTCCATATTTGCAACAAGTTTTGCTATTTGCTTTTTATTACTTATTGATTTTGCCCTACAACAAACCTTATTAATTTTATTATTTCTTAATTTTATATAAAAACTTACATTATTCGTCGAAAAATATATTTAAAGTATAATAAAGATGCTTGTATTACAGTGAAGTTAACTACAAAATGTTAGAATAAGCAAACATATGCAAATAAGATAAAAAACAAAAATGTAACAGCCGTTACTCTCAATGTATAATACACTACACTTGAAAACAGATATATAAAATGATATATTATATAATATTAAATCTAAATAAATTATTACTAACTATTAAATTAGTAATATTTAAGTTATATTAAATTTATATTTTAAATTGACTGTATAAAGCGTTTTAACAGCATTTATTTTATACGATAGACAAACTTCTACTGCTCAAATGCAGTAGAGAAATTTGTCTACTGCTGATAGAAAAACTTCTATCGGTTTGCAATTCATAATACCAAAATTTGATTTTGTCTATCAGCAGTAGAACTTTTTCTACTGTTTATCAGCGATAGACAATTCATATTAGGCACTACTGTTTAGAATTAAGGTTTATACTATTTGTTTAGAATTAAGGTACATTGTATTATGGCCTTTATTTATTTTATTATTTTAATTGTGTCGTAGCCTTTAAGCACACGCAAAAAGTCGGCGTGTGGCTTGGAGGTTAATAAAAAAGAAAACGTGAACGTAAAAAGGTCAGTAAATTAACTGAATAAAAACATTGGTGTCGAAACCCGGGATAGTGACCCATAAAAGGGATAGTGATCCAGAAAAGGGATAGTGATCCAGAGAAAAAAAATAAAATTGCAAAATGTTAGACTCAGAAATTTACGAACTCAGCGACGGGGAGCAAGAAGGCGTGTAGAAAGGATATAAGAAACTGGCGGAATTGAAGGCGTTGAGAGCCAGCACCAAAGGCAACATTACTCGTATAAAATCAATGATTTTGAAAAAAGGGTCAAGTTTGTCAACAGAAGAACTTAACTGCAGGCTTAGTTTGACAGAAAACTACTTCAAGCAGTTTCTGAGTGTGTAAGCAGATATCGACAAACTAAACCAAGGTGCAGATACTTTTTCAAGCGAAGCAATTACAGCAGAAGTTGAAGATGCATTTGTGGCCACGAAAACAAAAATAATGAGTTTACTAAAAAAAGAAAGCTATCACTGGTAGATGTCAATGCAACGAATACAACATCGTTATTGCCGTGCCTAAGAAGTCATCGGGAAGTAAAATTACCGAAATTCGAAGGGAAGTATAGCGAATTTCCGAAATTTATAGTCTTGTTTAATAAATTAATCAACCAAGATCAAATGCTTGATGACTGCGAACGATTTTTGATACTTAAAGAGCACTTGGGCTCTAAGCCGTTGGCAACTATTGACGATGTCACAGAGGACAATTACCCCAAAGCACTCGATCGATTGAAGGAATGCTTCGATAAAAAGGCGTTGATGTTTGAGGAACATATTACTGCCCTCTTTGCTGTCCCAAAATTAACAAAACCATCTGCAGTTCATTTAAGAAATGTATTAAATGCAGCGAATGCATATTTGAGTGCAATGCTATCATTAGGTGATTACAAAGATATAGCGAATGCCATGTTAATTCATTTGGTGATGGAAAAAGTGGACGAAGATTCACAGGTCAAATGGGAAGAATCAGTGGATTACAGGAAGCTGTCAACTTGGAATGAATGTTCAGCGGTTTTGACGAGGCGATGTGAGAACCGTGATGCAAGGGAACATAAAGTTAATCAAGTGAATTCAAAGGCTATAAACTATCAAAGAGAGTATAGAAATAACCGCAACTACTCAACCTCTCTTGCAGTTACAAAACCTTTATGTGAAGTCTGTAATGGCAGTGGCCACGATATTACAGATTGTAGCAAGTTTAGAAAGCTTTCTTTAAAAGAACCCTTTAACGTAGCACGGAGAATAAAGGTATGTTTTATATGTTTGAAAAGGGGACACCTTCAAAAAGAATGCTCTGCTGTTAAATGCTCGAAATGTGATTTATCTAATCATCAACTTTTACATGAAGATTATATCTTGGAGTCAAGTGAACAAAGATGCAAGAATTGGCCATCTACGTCAACACACAAGACAGCTCAGTTATCAGTTACGAACGTAATGACTGAAAACGAGGTTTTTTTGGCAACAGCAGTAGTAATGGTAGCGGACAAGTTTGGCAAATATCACCAAATGCGAGCCATATTAGATTCTGGCTCTCAAGTAAATTTGAAGTGTGAGAATCTTGCTCAAACACTGTTACTAAAAAAAACGTCTATTAAATTAGATGCTAGCTGTGTGGGTTTTACAAATGCAAAATACGCTGAGAAATCGTAGTTATATTCCTGCGTCTTCGATCTGTGCTTTGACTAAATTAAAATTTTAAATACTTTATATATTGGCGTCTTCGACATGTGCGTTGAATAATTATAAATACGTTAATACTTTATATTCCTGCGTCTCCGACTTATGGTTCGAACAAATGCAAAATACGCTGAGGTATCGTAGTTATATTCCTGCGTCTTCGATCTGTGCTTTGACTAAATTAAATATTTTATATATTTGCGTCTTCGACATGTGCGTTGAATAATTATAAATACGTTAATACTTTATATTCCTGCGTCTCCGACTTGTGGTTCGAACAAATGCAAAATACGCTGAGGTATCGTAGTTATATTCCTGCGTCTTCGATCTGTGCTTTTGACTAAATTAAATTTTTAAATACTTTATATATTGGCGACTTCGACATGTGCGTTGAATAATTATAAATACGTTAATACTTTATATGCCTGCGTCTTCGACTTGTGGTTCGAACAAATGCAAAATACGCTGGGGAATCGTAGTTATATTCCTGCGTCTTCGATCTGTGCTTTTGACTAAATTAAATTTTTAAATACTTTATATATTGGCGACTTCGACATGTGCGTTGAATAATTATAAATACGTTAATACTTTATATGCCTGCGTCTTCGGAAATTGTTAAGATTTTTTTTTTAAGAATTATATTGCTCAAGATAAAATCTCTATATGATAATAAAATAAAGTTTATTGTAAACGCTATTGTATTGAAATAATATCTAGACTTGTATATATAAACTCTATTTTTTATTTATGAAAATTGTTAAGATATTTTTTTTAAGAATTATATTGCTCAAGATAAAATCTCTTTATATGATAATAAAATAAAGTTTATTGTAACCTCTATTGTATTGAACTAATATCTAGACTTGTATATATAAACTCTATTTTTTTATTTACGAAGATTGTTAAGATATTTTTTTTAAGAATTATATTGCTCAAGATAAAATCTCTTTATATGATAATAAAATAAAGTTTATTGTAACCTCTATTGTATTGAAATAATATCTAGACTTGTATATATAAACTCTATTTTTTTATTTATGAAAATTGTTAAGATATTTTTTTAAAGAATTATATTGCTCAAGATAAAATCTCTATATCGTAACAAAAATAAAATTTATTGTAAACTCTAGTATACTGGAATAATATATGTAATACCAATAAAGAAGAAGTAGATATAAAAGTACTGTGGTTTTGAATAAAACAGAGGCTAGGGACGGGTGAATCAGACGAAATTACGCGGGGAATCGGAGTCGAGTCCAAAAATACAAATTGTCTTGTAAGTACCCTGGACACCGTTGAACTATTCCAGCTATAGACTGCCCCACGTAAAGGGGTTCATTACAACATATAAGAAATATATGACGCTCAAGTGCTAAGACGCTGAGCATTAGCATTAAGATGAATCAATTACAATAAACCACTCAACCTAATAAGTCGTGTTTTACTTGTCGGTAATAAGAACATTACATGGCGATCCTGCCAGTTCAAACAGATGAAATAAAATTAATTAAGTGAATTAATTTATCTGCTTGATAAAATAATAAAATAGTGAATAAAATATATAAATTATATAGTGACTTAAGAAACGAGTGATTAATTTATCTGTTTGATAAAAAATATGAATAAAAAAAAAATATGAATTAAATTGAATTATTAAATTGAATTATTAAATTGAATTATAGTGAATTAAGAAACGATTAATTAATTTATCTGTTTGATATCTGTTGATAGTGAATAAGAAATAGTGAATTAAATAAAATAAAATAACAAAAAAAAAAAAAGAAGAACCATGAATTAACTGTATTTGTAAACAAATAATACAAATAATATTTGAAAAATGATAAACAAATAAGTACATATTTTGCCTAATAAAAATTGTGTTTAAGATAAACAAATAAATAAGTATATACTTTGTTTAATAAAAATTGTGTAAACACAGGCAAATATTAAAACACAAAAAGGTTGTGAAAACAATATAGTGAATGTGTTAAATAAACAATAATATTTAAATGTCATAACAATATTCATGATATTAAAATTAATTTATAATTTAAAATTAATATACAAAGTGATAATTCATATTCAACAGTAAATTAATTAATAATAATTGGTGAATAATTAACATATGACTAATAATAACAATAAAATTAACAAAAATATTTAAACATTTCAATTGTCAAACACTTTCAAATAATAACTTAAATTTATATTTAAATTATGGATAGAAAAAATAATTATCCACGACCAGTGGAACACATATTGTTCGCACTTAAGAAAAAAATTCAATACGGTGATAATATAACCGAAAGAGACATTGAAAATATTGAAAAATCACTAAATTATTCGGGTGGATCAAATAAAAATATTACTAAAGACAAAAAGATCGACAGAAGCGAAATTTTTAAAATGTATCACATGTACCATATGTCAACAATCGAACAACTAAATAATGACAGCAGCGAGGGACATAATAATAAAGAAAACTCAAGCAAGGAAGCTGACAATTGAAGGAAGATAATCACAACAACAAACAAATACAAAACAACAAGCAGACAAGCAGATAAGCAATTTCAAAATTATTTTATTCTATTTTTTATTGTATTATAAATTTTATATATATATTGCATAAATATATTATACTTTTAAATTTAAAATATTAACATAAATTTTATATAATATAACAACCAATTTGCAAACACAAATTTACTGCAAATTAAATTAAAAAAAAAAAAAATATTTTTTCTTTAATAACAATATTTCATACAAATGTAAATATAAATTGTATGAAAACATATTTTTTATATATATATAAATACATTATGTCTAAATTTCTATTTTAAAAAAAAAAATAATAATAAATATATTACTTAAAATAACATTAATGTACTAAAACAATATGGGCGGACAACAAACAAAATTAGAAAATCCAAGAGCAAATGTCGTAAATGACATTGCAATTGAAGAAGGTATTGATATAACTATCTACCTTATTATAATAATTGTAGTATTAGTTGCCCAGCTAGCGTTGAAAGCATATAAAATGCATAAAAAATCACTTAAAAAAGTGTATTTAGCTAGAGCCGCGTCAATGGCTCAAGTATAATCCGAATTTACTTCAAAAGTTTACAAAAATATATTACATTTTTGTTTGTAGGCCCTACTTCAATCCCCATCTCTAACACATATATTATATACTTATATTTGTATATAGCTTTGTTATGTACCTCTACATACTATCACTATATAAATATAGTAGGGAGTAACAATTAAACCTCCTGATTAATCAAATCAATTAAAATTGAATGGCTGAATGGTCACAATTAAAAGAATCCATACTGATAAATGAAATAAATTTCAATAAATCTTACAAGTGTCTTAATTTAGATCGTAATATTTCAAAAGACACTATATCAAAACATTTCACAATATTACAGGCAACTCTTGAAAAAAAATAAGAGTTGCAATAATAAACAAACATGATACCTAAAATATATTGCAACAATCACAAGCAAAACAAATCTATAAAAAATGCAGAGATAAATTGCTCAAGATTGCTGAAAAGCATAAGGTAAACATTGATATATCAATAGACATAAGTAAAGATATACCAACGCTAGAATCAATGCTGGAAAACCTCTCCGAAATAGACGATAACATTGAAGCCAAACCAACAGGCAATACCAATACAATGGCACAAACACCGGTGGAATTTCTGAACACAGCAACAAAAATATTACCTGAGTTTGATGGAAAATCTTCAGAGCTTCATAGCCGCTCTACAACTGGTGGACAGCATTAACAATGGCAATGATATCATTCCCATTAACTTTGTTAAGTTTAACAAACCTAACATATTTTAGCTCGCTTGTAATCACACTTATGCAGCAAATAAATATTGTAAATATTAAATACATTGTTTACGTTTATAAGTTCAATAGCTTCACATATTGTATTTATGCTTATGCAGCAATATGTGAAATTTAAATTATTATTTTAGTCATCAATAATTGTAAATATTATTATGCTTAGTAAGTAATTCTATACTATATAAGGTAACAATATTGATAATAAAACTTGAGAGCGAAAACAATCGTCTTTCCTTCAAAATCAAAATTTGGTTATTTGTAGATGTGCCTTTTAACCACTGTAGCAATAAATAAAAATTATTTACTTACTTGGCTAGCGGTTTATGTGCCTGCAAGCCTTTCGTCATAAATACCTGATTATTGGTTTATGTGCCTAATAGTCAGTGTAACGAAGTAAGAAAATATATTATTTGATACCACCTCATATTACGTGGTATAAATTGGTGATCCCGACGTGATTGGCAAGAGCAACTCAGTGTGAGCCAGCAGCGTTTACAAAAAACCTTCATTGAAAACAACTTTTTTCAACGGAAATACAATAACCATGGATCCAAAATCAATATCCACTTTAACTGACCAGCAGGATTCAATTGGTTCAGAGATCGACAGAATCATTCGCAACTTCAAGAAGGACTCACCCAGCAGGAAAACACGTCAATATCTCGAAGATCGTAAAACAACTTTAGAACAGTTATTAGCTGACTTCAAGGCTAATGATGAGCAACTACAACAAGCCGATGTACTAGCAAGAACATCGGAATATTTCACACAAGATTACGGCATGGTAATCATAAATTTGGGTAACAAATATATCACCACAATAACTCAAGAGCTGGAAGCATTACCCATTAAGGCTCAAACATCAACAATAAAGGGGTTGAACCTTCAGATAAATAATGATGTTGAAGCTCCTGAAATAGTATTACCTACTGGTGGTCAGGAGAATTAAATTATTCAGGCATTAGTCAACAGACGAAATGCAGTGTGTAAATCAATCAATCGTCTCATCCACAATGTGAGACAAGATAACCAGCAACAGGTACCACAGTATTTTGCAGTAAAATTACCTACGCTTACCAAGTTATGGGATCAGGCTGAAGGTTTAAATTTTACTATTCAGGAACGGCAAGACAACCCTCCTGATTGCAATCATTATCTAGCACTGGAACAGTTGGTGCAAGATACAATGGTGGAATGGACTAGTAAGTCGACCAAGATTGAGACATCAATTAGGTCAACTTATCAACCATCGGCTACTTTGCCAACAATATCTCTTCCAAAGTTCAGTGGAGATTATTTGAGTTGGCGACAATTCAGTGATCTGTTTGCACAACTGATACACAATCAAAGAATATCAGACTCACAGAAACTCTGGTATTTGAAAACCAATATTCAAGGCGAAGCTGAAGCACTCATCAAGCATTTGCAAATATCAGATGCAAATTATGAGACGGCATGGCAATTACTACAAAGTAGATATGAGAATAAAAGAATTCTAGTATCAGCAGTTTTGCAACAGTCCAAGCCATTAAAAATATGCATGACACAACAAAGGAAAGTCTATGTGAACTTCATAATTTAAATATTGAAACATCAACTTGGGATCCAATTTTAGTTCACATACTATTAAAAAAGTTGGATAAAAATACACATTGCAGTTTTGAACAAACTCTTACTAACCCAAGGGAGATGCCCACAATAAAACAATTCTTAGAATTTTTAGAATTGAAATTTCAGTCACTTGAGGCTATAGGTCTACGAGACAATGCAGTATATAAACCCAACAAAAGGATAGCCGTAACTATGGTTTGTTCAGATCTATGTAAAGTTTGTAATACAGATAAACATCCGATCTACTATTGCAAAAAATTCATTGAAATGCCTCCTCCTGAACGATTAAATTGGATTCAACGACAAAAACTATGTGTGAATTGTTTCAAATCCGATCATAAAGCAAAGGTTTGTGAAGCTGGATCATGTAAAAAATGTGCCAAGAAGCATAACACTTTGCTTCATTTAGAGCAACAGTCACCTAAACCTTCAAGGGCACCAGCAACAAACACAAAGTCAACCACAACATTGATCAACGCTAATGAATCGCCATCCATAACAGCAACAACTAATGCAAAGGGTACTCGTAATTACGTTCTGCTAGCCACTGCAAAGGTGCGCATTATTGCAAACAATGGACGAACGTGTGATGTTCGTGCCATACTCGACTCAGGTCCTCAAGTGAACCTAGTAACCCAAAGAGTAATCAACAAGTTATCTTTAATTACCACAAATTCAAATCTATCGATCGAAGGTATTGGTCGTCAATTCGGGAACTTAAAATCTCGCGTAAATGTTGAACTGCAGGCTACTAATGGAAGCTTCAGGACGAGACTAGAGGCATTTGTATTGCCACAAATAATATCAGCACAACCGTCACGAGACCTAGATATTTCGATTGGCAGATCCCACAGAATGTAGAATTAGCAGACCCCAGCTTTAACAGATCTGGAAGAATTGACATGCTGATTGGTGCTGAATTCTATCATACTCTACTTCAACCAGAACAATTGATAATAGGAAAGAATTCGCCACTGTTACAAAATTCGGTGCTAGGTTGGTTGGTGGTTGGTAAGACTAAAACTACAACAGATATTAAACCAACATGCGCTATTACTACAGGAGAAGTTGGTGAAATGTCAGAAATGATAGAACGATTTTGGAAGTTAGATAACATTGAGACTGCAGAAAGGGTTTTGACTTTATCTGAGAAATGGTGTGAAAATCACTTTACAAATCATGTAAAGACAAATCACGATGGTCGTTTCATTGTACGCTTACCTTTCCACGATGATCCCACAACACTTGGTAGATCGCGTGAGATAGCATTCAATCGATTTTGTTCTCTGGAAAGGAAGTTACAAAGGGACGCAAATTTATACAAGGAGTACATAAAGTTCATGGATGACTACGAGTCATTAGGTCACATGGAAAAAGTTTGCCCGAAAGATGTCAAAGGAGCACAATATTTCATTCCTCATCATTGTGTCTTGAAACCTGACAGCACTACAACCAAATTGAGAGTTGTCTTTGATGCATCAGCAAAAACATCAAGCGGTTTAGCACTAAACGATATTTTGCACAAAGGTCCAACAGTGCAAAGTGATCTTTTTTCAATACTCTTGCGTTTTAGAATACACCGGTTTGTATTTACGGCTGATATTGAGAAAATGTACCGGCAAATTCAAGTACATGATGAAGATACAGCACAGCAGCTGATAATCTGGAGAAAAAGTGCTGATGATAGTATACAATATTACCGACTGAAAACGGTTACATATGGAACGAAGTCAGCCCCTTATCTTGCAACAAAATGTCTTCAACACCTTGCGAAACATAATATGACCAACTATCCGCTTGGAGCACCTGCATTACTTAATGATTTTTATGTAGATGACTGTTTAAGCGGAACTAACAGCATCATTACCGCCTTAGACACTCAACAACAACTTACGGAACTGCTCAGTAAATCAGGATTTAAACTGAGAAAATGGTGCTCAAATAATACACGACTCCTACAAAACATTTCGATAGAAGACCAAGAAATCAACCTTGATTTAGATGACTCAGCCATAAAGCCAACAAAAACATTAGGCATTATTTGGCTCCCGAAATCAGACGAATTTTGCGGTAAGGCAGAGATGTCATCAGAGCAACCTATCACGAAGCGGATTGTGGCATCGGACTTAGCTCGAATTTTTGATCCTTTGGGAATTTTTGGCCCCATTACTGTAACAGCTAAAATATTCATGCAGGAATTGTGGCAACAAAACTATTCCTGGGATGCGGAACTGTTACCTCAGGCTCAGCTAGAATGGAAGCGTTTTAGAAATGACTTACAAACATTAAATACTGTGAAAGTACCCAGACATATTTTTAATTCGACGGTTCCCTGTTCGATTCAATTACACGTGTTTACGGATGCATCAGAGAAGGCATATGGAGCAGCTATGTACGTGCGAGCAATATATAATGATAAGACAATAACATCGAGACTATTGTGCGCCAAATCTAGAATAGCACCATTAAAAAAACAGACACTTCCACGACTAGAACTCTGCGCAGCATTGCTGGGAGTCGAATTAGCAGAAAGAGTTAAACAAGATTTAAAGTATCAAAACGTGCCAACCTACTTTTGGTCCGATTCCGAAATTGTTTTGTCATGGATAATATCTTCATCTGCCTCATTGCACACACTCGTAGCAAATCGTATTAGCAAAATTCAAGAGATGTCACATGCTGATCAATGGCATCATGTGGCGTCAAAGGATAATCCTGCTGACATCATTTCCAGATGAATAATAGTTAAAATGTTCAATTATTCACATATGTGGGGTGTGTTTGTGCAGTACGACAAGAGAGCAGAACAAACGAATTCTTGTTGCCATGACTACAAAGAGAAGAGTTAGTCAGTCGCTTCGTGGTGTTCAGCGAAAACGGTCGAGTAGCGCTAAACATTTTTTTCTTATATACATTTTGTAATTTTGTATCACTCTAATTTAATTTAATTGTATTAATGTTTTTAAAATCAACTTTCAATTCAATATAATAATAAAATTCCTACATTTTGGGGGCTCGCCCGAGATAAAATAAAAACTGTAGTGATAAAAAACTGTGTTAAAACAAACTATATTGAATCAAGCTGGTGTGAAAAAGTTATAAGTGTTTGCATGAAATGGCGTCGCTGGGCAGAATCGACTCGCTACGGCATGTTCTGTCTAAAGGTAGAAGGGAGAATATTGCACTATTACACAAATTTGTTTTTCAATTTGGAGGCGATAGAAATAGCAGGCAACGGCTCAGGGATTTTGTAGGCTTTGACTTTAGCCAAGATGACGAGGGTTTTAAGTCATTGCAGGAGTACGTTACTGCAAATTTCGAAAGCAGCGAATTAGTTACAATATGCAACATGTTGGGAATTGACTACAAGGCTGATGACTTGTTCGTGCACATATTCAACAATTTAAGTAAAGGCGGTTTACTATGTTCCGTTAATGCAGTTGACGACACTGACGACGAAAGCGATGATGATTTTGATGATAATGAAGACGATCATCGAAATGACGCTGTCGTTCAACGCAACGAAGAGAGAGATGAAGCAAATAGTGGAACAAGCGACAATGACCAATACAATGAAGCCGAAGGCGAATTAGAGAGTGAAATTCGATGCGACAAGCAATACGGCAAAAGCGACGACGGAGTAAACAGAGAAACAGGTAAAGTGAAACGAAGAAGTATGACATCACAAAACAAAACTATTAAAAGCAACAACGAGTTACGACAAAGACAACAGCGTAAACAAAATTCAGTAAAGAATTTTACAGTAGCGGCCGAAAATATAGTTACACCAAAATTTGTGTTAAATTTTCGTGATGTTGAGGATTCAATAAGACCATTTAGTGGAGATGATTTGTTATCAATTGATGTTTGGCTAAATGAATTTGAAGATATTTCCGTAATGATGCAATGGGATGATTTACAAAAGTTTATCTTTGCAAAAAAGTCAATAAAAGGATTAGCGCGAACATACCTAATGAGTGAACGAGGTATAAATAATTGGTTTAAGCTAAAAAACGCTCTGATAAACGAATTCAAAGAATCGACAAATAGTGCTGAACTACATAAACTAATGTGCAGTAGAAAAATTAAGAAAAATGAGAGTTGTCAAGAATATTTTCTCAATATGAAAGAGCTAGCGTCACGTGGTAATATAGAAGAAGAAGCTCTAATGCAATATGTGATTGAAGGCATTAATGACTTAAATATAAATAAAATTATTTTATATGGCGCGAAAAACCTACGAGAGTTTAAAGAAAAACTAAAATGCTATGAATCGATAAGTGGAAAAGATCGTGCGGTTAACCTGAAAGTTAATAAAAAACCTGCCGAACAACAAGGAAAAGAAGCCAAAAATATTTTATGTTATAATTGTGGCATGAAAGGCCATGTGTCCTCAAATTGCAGTAATAAAAGCAAAGGTATGAAATGTTTCAAATGCAGTGATTATGGTCATATCGCTAAGCATTGCACAATTAAACAAAACGAAAATGCACCAAATGCAAATACACGAGTTTTGTCTATTAAAGATGATAGCATGGTGAAAGAAATTAAAATAAACAATTTAAAGTGTCGAGCTTTATTTGACACAGGTAGTAAGTGTCATATAATAACGAAACGGATGCATATACGTTTAAAAGAACCAAAACACCGCGAATCAAAAAATATCCTTGGTTGGATTTGGAAAAAGGACAAGTAAAAGTAAAATAAAACCCCTTGGTCAATGTGATTTAAATGTCTTAATTGATGGCGAAGACTATGAAATGAATTTTCAAATAGTACAATCAGAGTGTGTGGACGTAGATGTGGTAATTGGTGAACCTTTGAGGAATCAACCCGAAATAAAAATTAATAATGACGGGGTGTTCGTAACAAAAATGCATGAAAATGATAATAACTTAGCTGTTATGCAAATAGAAATAGCTCCAGAAGAAACCGAAATTGATGCTGCATCAGATATTAGTGCTAAAACTAAAAAGAATGTTCAAGAGCTAGTTCAAAACTATCGACCGAAAAAAATAAAATCGACTAATGTAGAAATGACACTAACTTTAACTGATGATACGCCAATTTACAGTAAACCAAGACGTTTACCTATTAGTGAAAGGCAAATCGTAGATCAAGAGATTGAACGGTGGTTAAAAGAGGGTATTATTGAAGCATCCGACTCAGAGTTTTGTAGCCCTATAGTACTTATACGAAAGCGCGATGGCACTCCAAGATTATGCATAGATTATCGCAGATTGAATAAAGTAGTTGCCAAAGATCGTTTTCCGTTACCCTTAATTGAAGATCAACTTGATCGTTTGCAGAATGCTAAACTCTTCAGTACAATAGACTTAAAAAATGGGTTTTTTCATCTTCCAGTGGCGCAAGCATCGAGAAAATACACTTCATTTATTACACACAGTGGACAATTTCAATTTTGTAAAGTTCCGTTTGGACTATGCAATTCACCGAGCGTATTTCAAAGGCATATTTGCGCAATATTTCGAGAAATGAGTTGTAAAGGTATAGCATTGCCATATATCGATGATGTTATAATACCAGCGCAAGACGAAGAAGAAGCTGTAGACCGTTTAAAAATCGTTTCTGATTTATGTGAGCAGTACGGACTAGAAATAAATCTTAAGAAATGCCAGTTCCTACAAAGACGTGTTGAGTTCCTTGGGCATGTTATATGCAATCAGAAAATCGAGCCGTCTCCAGCAAAAATTGAAGCACTCATGAGGTTTAAGTTGCCAGAAAATGTAAAACAGTTGGAAAGTTTCCTTGGCTTAGCAGGTTACTTTCGTAAGTTTGTACCTAATTTTTCAATTATTGCGAAGCCACTTAGTGATCTTCGTAAACAAGGTCGCAAATTCGAAATCAAAGATGAACAAAAATTAGCATTCAAACAATTGAAAACAATTTTAAGTGAGCAACCGGTATTAAGTATTTTCAACCAACAATATGAAATCGAAGTGCACACTGATGCATCGATCGATGGTTATGGAGCAGTGCTCATGCAAAAACTTGCAGAGGATGGTAGATTTCATCCGGTGTACTACATGAGTAAGAAAACGACGGATGCAGAACGCAAATATTGTAGCTATGAGTTAGAAGTGTTAGCTATAATTGAGGCTTTAAAAAAATTTCGTATTTATTTATTGGGTCAGCAATTCAAATTGGTTACGGACTGTAATGCATTCACAAAGACGCTGGACAAGAAGGACTTATGCACGAGAGTGGCGCGATGGGTTCTTTTTTTGCAAGAGTATAATTACACAGTAGAACATCGTCCTGGTTCTCAAATGCGACACGTGGACGCACTCAGTAGAATGATGATGATTGATACAGAAAGCATATTATGGCGAATACAACAAGCGCAAGCACAAGATGAACATCTAAGGGCAATAATTGAGATACTCAAGAAAGAAAATAAGACTTACAACGATTATATTATAAAATCTGGTGTCCTGTACAAACTTGTTAATGATGTTGAATTAATTGTAATTCCAGTAGGTATGCAGAGGCAAATAATCAGTCAAGTACATGAAAGAGGTCATTTCGCTATTAAAAAAACTAAAGAGCTGATCTGTAAAGACTACTTCATACCGAACGTTGAAGATAAAATTCAGAAAATTATTGAATGTTGTATCCCGTGTATACTTAGTAATCGCAAACGAGGTAAGCAAGAAGGTCTGTTGCACCCACTACAAAAAGAAGAGATTCCGCTGTATACGTTCCATATCGACTTCTTAGGACCGTTGGAATCAACAAACAAAAATTACAAGTACATTTTAGCTGTGGTGGACGCATTTACGAAATTTTGCTGGCTATACGCGACTAAATCAACTACAGCGAATGAAGTCATCGCAAAATTGTGTATTCAAAGTATGACGTTCGGAAATCCCGCATTCATCATATCGGACAGAGGCTCAGCTTTCACCTCTCAAGATTTTCTAAGCTATTGTGACGATGAAGGTATTAAGCTGATTAAGACGACAACTGGCTTACCGAGAGTGAATGGGCAAGTGGAGAGATTGAACGCTGTTATTACTTCAGTACTCACAAAACTCAGTATCGATGACCCTACGAAGTGGTATAAGTATGTTGACCGGGTACAGCGAGCAATTAATTCGACGTTCTCCAGAAGCATTCAGACTACGCCGTTCGAGTTGTTAATTGGAGTAAAAATGCGTACTAAAGATGATCACCAGTTGCAAGCACTTATTAACAACGAGATGATCATGATATTTAGCGAAAATCGCGACGATTTACGTGCTAAAGCCAAAACACAGATAGTAAAATTGCAAGACGAAAATAAAAAAACGTATAACCTACGACGCAAAAAAGCTAGACAGTATGCCGTTGACGACCTAGTTGCTGTCAAACGTACACAGTTCGGTAGTGGTCTTAAGTTGAAACCAAAATTTTTGGGTCCATACAAAGTTGTGAAAATTAAATCAAATAATTCTTATGATGTTCAGAAGATGGGTAATTCCGATGGTCCGAAAAATACTTCAACTCGTGCAGAATATATGAAGCCGTGGTCTAACAATGAAAACCTCGGAGCATTCGAGGCGAATGCTTGATCAGGAAGGCCGAATGTAGGGTGTGTTTGTGCAGTACGACAAGAGAGCAGAACAAACCAATTCTTGTTGCCATGACTACAAAGAGAAGAGTTAGTCAGTCGCTTCGTGGTGTTCAGCGAAAACGGTCGAGTAGCGCGAAACATTTTTTTCTTATATACATTTTGTAATTTTGTATCACTCTAATTTAATTTAATTGTATTAATGTTTTTAAAATCAACTTTCAATTCAATATAATAATAAAATTCCTACACATATATGGTTTTTTGGTCCACTCTTTCTTCATGGAAGCAACGAATTTTGGCAACAGCCAAACCCAAAGCATTTAACATCTCAACTGATATCGAAAGACGACAAAGACATACAGTTAACATTATCATTCAAACGACTGGTTCTGATCACATGATAAATCAAATTGATCATCGAAACTCATTCAGATACCTCCAAAGAACAATTGCTTATGTTCGCCGTGTATTTCATCGCACACAATCACCAACAAGAACACTTTCTCCAAAGGAATTACGAGATGCATTAGTCTTCATAATTAAAACTATTCAGGGCTCAGAATTTGCAAAGGAAATCTCTGCTTTAAAACAATGTAAAGCAGTCAACAGTTCGAGTCAACTAAATACTTTAGCACCGTTCATTGACGAACAAGGTGTACTTCGTGGTGGAGGAAGGCTTGAAGCATCAACATTGCCATATGATGCTAAACACCCAATGGTAATTCCTTACAATCACTCAATAGTGAAATTGATGTTCAAAATGAAACATGAAGAAAATTCCCATTGTGCTCCACAATTATTGCTAAGCATAATGAAACAAAACTTCTGGCCGATTAAAGGAAAGATTATGGCGCGAAACATTGTTCACAGCTGTGTCATATGTTCAAAGGCAAAACCAAAACTGATGGACCAACTCATGGGCAACTTACCGACTGACCGAGTTACTCTGACTAAACCATTTTTTACCACAGGAGTTGATTACTGTGGTCCGATATGGATTAATTATAAAATTAGAGGAAAAAGGCCAACAAAGGCATATTTAGCAGTATTTTGCTGTTTCGCGACTAAGGCTGTTCACCTAGAAGTGGTGAGCGACCTGACAACAGAGGCATTCATAGCCGCTATTCAACGTTTTATCACCAGAAGAGGAAGATGCCAAACAATTTATAGTGACAATGCGACTAACTTTGTTGGGGCGAGAAACCAACTACAAGAGCTCCAGTCTACCATTTATTCAGAAAATGGTAAAGAAAAGATCATTAAAACCAGTAGTAACAAGGGAATTGACTTCAAATTCATTCCACCAAGAGCTCCTCATTTTGGAGGACTATGGGAAGCTGCCGTCAAGTCAGCTAAACATTTAATGATTTAAGGAATTTTCAACGCTTCATTGACTTATGAAGAATTGACAACAGTCATAACTGAAATAGAAGCCATGTTAAATTCAAGGCCAATAACAAAAATGTCATCCGATCCAAATGATCTAACAGCGCTTACACCAGGACACTTTCTCATAGGCGAACCACCTACCACTAATGTGGATCCCTATCAAAAGGAAAGCCGAATGAGTTTATCATCACGATGGCGTCTAGTTTCTGAACTCAAACAAGAATTCTGGAGAAGATGGTCAAAGGAATATCTCAATGAACTCCAATCAAGGTACAAATGGAAACAACAAAAGGCAAATCTATGCCAAGGTGATTTAGTCATTATTAAAGATGATAATCTACCCATGTACAAATGGCCTCTTGGCAGGGTGCAACAGGTGTATGAAGGAGAAGATGGTTTGGTCCGTGTAGCTGACATAAAAACAGCCAATGGGATTTTTAAACGACCATTACGATCATTGGCCCCCCTACCCACTGAAGGCAGCATTAATCAAAATCCAACAAAACAAAATTCTACTGTCACACAAACAAGACGAACGAATGAACCTAGTGAAGCGTTGCCAAAGCGTCGAAAGATATATGATGGCACATCTTTAATGATGACCATACTTGTGACAATATTGATGATGCCATTAATACTTTCGAAACCCATTGAAGAAATATCATTTCCAAACAAACCCGGAATATATTTTGAAGGAATTGGCACCGTAAATCAAATCATTGGAAGATGGAAAATTATCACTTACTTTGAGTTCGCGCCTATTCGAAAGGAGATCGAAAGGTTTCAAAATGGCACAGCAGCACTTCAGCAATTGTGCCCATTGTTACAGCAACAAGAAAGCTGTTATGAGCTCGTCCGCCAATTCAATAATACTAACATAGAATTACGAACTGAAACGAAGGTTATGACGAGACACCGATCAGCCAGAGGAGCCATCAATATAGTTGGAAATATTGCTAACAAATTATTTGGTGTTTTAGATTAAGAATATGCTGAAACGATTTCTAAAACTCTAACTCAAATCAACAATAATGAATATGTACTATCAAAAATGATCAAAAATCAGACTACAGTCATGGACTCAACGCTAAATATATTCAGCAAAACTACAAAAGCCATTGCAGTTAAAATGAATCAACTACAAGATGAGACAAACAAAATAGTAGATTACACTAATCATAATACTAAACGTATTAACCACCTAGAGATCTATACATCACTGGTAACCCAACTTACATGGATGGCACACACATTAATAAAATTTGAAGCTGCGATATTTGATGTCTTAACTGATACTCAGCATGGCAGAATTAATTCTCTTTTGATGTCTCCACAACAACTTCAAGACCAAATCATGAAGATCAAGGGCCATTTACCTCATTCACTTCGTCTTCCATTTAATCAAGAGGACGTTATTCATTTATACACGTTGATGTCTTCACAAAGTGGAATCACACAAGATCATTTGATAGTTGTCTTACAACTGCCATTAACCGATCATGAGGATTTCGATTTATTCAATCTCGTCCCAATTCCTGCAACAGTCAACAATACAATGATGACAATAGTTCCAGAAGCTTCATTTTTAGCTGCCACGCCGCATAGAGACCAATATTTTGCCTTAACTCGTGAACAGTATAAGGAGTGTATGACTTTCAAGCAACCAGAAAACAAACTACTCTGTTCGGATAAACAATCAAAATATAACATCGGCTCACAGGCTTACGCTTGCGAATTTAACCTATTAAAAAACATATCTGACAATACGTGTAATGTGCAGGAAACAAAATCGAACATTATTTGGAGTCGCCTGTATCATGCGAACCAATGGATATTCGGGTCAAAAAACAATACAACAGTTACGGCCGTCTGTAAGGGCATCACGACTCATTTAGAACTACAAGGTGCAACACTTCTGAAATTACAAGACGACTGTGTACTCAAACACCAAACGTCTACAATTCAGACACATCAAACGCTTACCGACACCATGTATGAATCTTACATTGCATTTGGTGAGATACCTGTCATTACTAACTCAGAATTATGGTCAAATTTTAAAGGAAGTTCATTGAATCGCAGCAATGAACTTAAACAGTTAAAGCTACTTCACAATACTCTGTGTTGGAGCACGGTGCTTTGGTAGATCTAGCAAGTTGAGTTTGTAAGCATTTTAACATGTGTACGAATAATGTAGAGCAAGATCAATACCAGTTTTGAGTCATTTCTTTTACTCATTTGAGCTTTCAGCTCTTGACATTCGCACTCAATTATTCGTACGCATGTTAATTTGCAAGTTGAATGCTATTGTAATATAAAAAGCCTCTTTTGTTCTCTTTGAAAAGTGTGTAAAGAAAGACAGTCTGTGCGCTAAAATTAAACAGTAATGTTTTATAAATAGTTAAAAAAATAAAATATATATTATATGAATTGTTACGTGTGTAATTAAGTAAATAAATCGTAAACTACAATAATTTGAACAAAATTTGTATTAATTTTTTAAAGCAATTTATTTAAGTGAATAAATTAGCATCACCTCGTAAAAGACATTGTTAGTATTTGATAAAATATAAGTAATAATTATTGTAAAGAAAAAGACTAATACTCAAAACATCATAAAAAAGCTTATGATTAGACATTGGCGACCGTGACAGGACACTAATATGAAAATAATATTCGAACGTTTTAACAAAACGGTCATAAGTACTAACCAAAGATCAACGCTTTAAGTGCCGTGTAACAAATTTTCTAATAAGAAAAGTTCTTACTTAAACCAACAAATAACAGACATAAAAAATAAAACACTTCAAGGTGTGTATAATTAACAAAGATAAACTTTAGACAAAAAGTGTTAATTTAAATGTTAAAAATAAATTCTAATTTTGTTTATAAATATATAATAAAAAATTATTTAAAAAATAATATTTGCAAATTAATAAAATTGCTAATTTCAAACGGAATTTCTAAACTTAACGTTAATTAATGGTCGTGGTTACCGCGTGGTAAAATAAACGTTATTCGAGTGTCGAGGTTCGGTAATATGCGGACAATAACCGCTACTCTATGCACAATTATTTAAGTGCATGTGCTTAGAATTTTCGCTTTCGTTCACATTATTCGGTCAACCGATTAATTAATCGTTGTCGCACAATTATTTAAGTGCATGTGCTTAGAACTTTCGCTTTCGTTCACATTATTCGGTCAACCGATTAATTAATCGTTGTCGCACAATTATTTAAGTGCATGTGCTTAGAACTTTCGCTTTCGTTCACATTATTCGGTCAACCGATTAATTAATCGTTGTCGCACAATTGTTTAAGTGCATGTGCTTAGAACTTTCGCTTTCGTTCGCATCATTCGGTCAACCGATTAATTAATCGTTGTCGCACAATTATTTAAGTGCATGTGCTTAGAACTTTCGCTTTCGTTCGCATCATTCGGTCAACCGATTAATTAATCGTTGTCGCACAATTATTTAAGTGCATGTGCTTAGAACTTTCGCTTTCGTTCGCATCATTCGGTCAACCGATTAATTAATCGTTGTCACACAATTATTTAAGTGCATGTGCTTAGAACTTTCGCTTTCGTTCGCATCATTCGGTCTACCGATTAATTATCGGTTCAGCTCAATTATTTAAGTGCATGTGCTTAGAACTTTCGCTTTGTTCGCATCGTTCGGTCAACCGATTAACTATCGTTGTAGCACAACTATTTATGCGCAAGTGCTTAGTGACTTTCGAATTTGTGCACTATTTCGGTATCGTGTCGTGATAATATCTATTAGACTTTCGGAGAGTGTAATTATTTTGACTCATCAATAATTTATTAAATCGAGATGACAACACCCAACACAAGCCAGACGGCCATGTCAGAATTGGCAGAACTCAAACAGCAAAGGGCCTCAACCAAAGCGAGTATCAGTAGGATTAAAGGGTTGATCGAAACCCACATAAAGGAGACTGGAAAATTATTGTCACAGCCGGAATTAAAATGTAGGCAAGGTATCCTAGATTCTTACTTTAAACAGGTCTTATCATTTCAGACATCAATTGAGAAACTAGATGCTACCGATACGTGCAGAGCTGACTTAGAGGAGCTTTATATTTCAACAAAAATTTCCATATCTTCGCAGCTGAATGATGAAGCTAATAATTCTACAATGATGGACAACACAGCATTGATACCTCCTGTGAGTAAGAAGTTGCCACATTTGAAATTACCCACGTTCAGTGGTAAGTACTCCGAATACAAGAACTTCATCAATTCTTTCGTCCAAATTATTGATCGAGAAGCGTGTCTAACCAACATCGAAAAATTTAACCATTTGCGAAATTGTCTAACGGGCCAAGCATTAGAAACAGTGCAGGCATTCCCCATTTGTAATGAAAATTATCCGAAGGCTTTAGAGCGACTTAAAACACGGTATGACAACAGTACGCTGATTTTCTTACAAAACATTACAGCTTTATTTGATTTGCCAGTGGTTTCGGATCAGTCTAGCCACCAACTTCGCAGCCTAATCGATAATGTGTCTGCACTGTACGGTTCACTCTGCACGTTAGGCTCTGAAAAACAAATATGTGAGGCAATACTCATTTCATTGGTAATGCAGAGGGTGGATGAAACTACACGTAGGAAATGGAAGGAGGCGCTATCTCTCACCACTCTACCTAGTTGGAACGACTGTTCAGCACTGCTTGACAGACATTGTCAGTTTCTAGAATCTCTCGATCACAAGCCATACAACCATCTATCGGTACATCGTAAAGCCAACAATATTAAGGCCAAACCCATCAATCGTCCTAAACAGTATTCGTTCGCTACAGCTACTTCCACCCAGTCCTGCTTACTTTGTTCAAGTCATGAACATTTAGTGCAGAAGTGCCCTCGTTTTAAAACTATGGAAGTTAACCAAAGATTTGAGAAGGCGAAATGTTTGAAACTCTGCATTAACTGTCTATCGCCCCGGCATCGAGTGGCCAATTGCACATCATCATTCAAATGCCGAATATGCGCAAAGTCACATCACACACTCTTGCACCAACCCAATAGCAATGACCAGGTTTCGGATTCACTAAATACCACAAGGCAAACTCTGTTGCCCAATAACAATGTTGCCAGTCACTCTCATCTTGATATGTCTTCAAATGAACAAATAATTTTAGCTACGGCGCTGGTTTTGGTGAAAGATTCAGTTGGAGGTTATCAAGTGGGGAGAGCGTTACTCGATTCGTGCTCGCAGGTTAATTTTATAACAGAGGAATTCTCAAAAAATCTTAATTTGGTCAAATACAAGCGACCGGTACATGTGGCAAGTATAGGCAGCACATTTGCTAATATAAAGCATCAAACATCCACTATCGTAAAGTCACGTCATTCAAATCTTGAGCTGGATCTCAACTTCTGCGTTACTCCTCATATTGCTTACCAGCCAAGCTCAGAAATTGATGTATCATCATGGAACCTCCCGCCGAATACTTCACTCGCAGATAAACTATTTTTTAAATCCAAAGTATCGATCTCTTACTAGGCACAGAAAGCTTCTTTGACATTTTATCCATCGGTCAAATTAAACTGGGTGCGAATCTTCCAGTCCTGCAAAAAACATTGTTTGGATGGGTGGTATCCGGTAGATGTCAAGGTGTTCTCGATAATCCCACAGTTGCAAACTGCCTAATGTCACTAGATGATACCGTATCCAAACAACTAGAAATGATGTGGAAGATAGAGGAAGTACAATCAGCTGAAAAATCGTGGTCACCAGAACAAGCGAAGTGCGAGACCTCCTATCAAGAAACAGTTCGACAAGCTATGGACGGAAGAATTGTAGTTCGATTACCATTTAAGGAACCACCAACCACCCTCGGTCTGACACACAGCATTGCCTTGCGTCGACTTCTAGGTATAGAACGACGCTTATCATCCAATCCTGCATTAAAACGCGATTACTGGGAGTTCATGAAACAATATCTGGAGTTAGGACATATGACGCGCGTCGAAGATCCCAAATTGAACGAACCGCATTACTATATCCCTCACCATTGTGTTCTGAAGCCTTCCAGCACGTCAACAAAGTTGAGAGTAGTTTTTGACGCATCATGTCCAACCTCATCTAGTCGTGCGCTAAATGACATTTTGCTGGTAGGCCCTACCATTCAGCCGGAACTATATCTGCTCCTTCTTCAGTTTCGTTTATACCGTTATGCTCTGACAGCCGACATCGTAAAGATGTTCCAACAAAGCACAGCATCGACGCCGTTTTTATCAACTAGAAGTTTACAATATTTGGCCGATAAATATAAGGACAAATACCCATTAGGCTCTCCACTTCTTAAATCGTCATTTTTTGTGGATGATTTTATTGGCGGAGCCGACTCCAGTGAAGAACTTGTCGAAATTAAACATCAACTGACTGCAATTCTGAAGGAAGGTTGTTTTGAATTGGATAAATGGCATTCTAATCATGTGGATTTTGTAAGCGACACTACAACGAAGAGTTGGGATCTGGGTTCGGATACGATCACTAGCGCATTGGGCATCAAATGGCATCAACTTCATGATGTGTTTCTATTCTCTTTCAATGTCCCGATTAGTCGTACGGTAACAAAACGTTCTATTCTATCACTGGCCTCATCACTGTTCGATCCTCTTGGGTTACTCGCTCCACTTGTACTTGTTTCAAAAATTATTATGCAAGAACTCTGGCTGCTTCGTTTGAATTGGGATGAGTCAGTACCTCAAGCTCTTCACTCTGCATGGGAAACGTTCGTTCAAGACCTCCATACACTTTCTTCTATGAAGATACCGCGATTTTGCCTAACAATAGGCCCTCAACAAGTAGACATCCACGGATTTTGTGATGCCTCAATAAGAGCATATGGATGTTGCATTTATCTTCGTTCTCAGGATAAGTCAGGTAACGTGACAGTCAAACTATTTACTGCAAAATCCCGCGTAGCTCCGATAAAGAGGAAATCGTTGCCTAAGTTAGAGTTATGTGGTGCGTTACTACTTGCCAGGTTATTACAAAAAATTCAGCCGACACTCGCTCACCTCGAAGGAGAAACATTTTTTTGGACGGATTCCCAAATAGTTCTGCATTGGTTGAAACAACATTCCTCGACTCTGTCTGCCTTTGTAGGCAACCGTGTGGCTGAAATCCAAGATATAACTCGCGCTGGTCAGTGGCAGCACATATCTACAAAAATTAATCCAGCTGATATTGTTTCTCGTGGTTGTACCAATCGCCAACTAACGGAGTCTACGTGGTTCACTGGACCAGAATTTTTATTACGTGAAAGAAAACATTGGCCTCAACCAGAACATAGCAATTTAGATATGGAAGTAGTCAATAAGGAAAGAAGAAAACTTGCGTTTACTCAGGTAACTAAAGAAAATTATTTGCTGACAGTTATATCAAAGTATGGCTCCTATACTAAAATACTACGAATAGTAGCGCAACTACATCGATTCCATCAGTTAACCAAGTATAAAGAGAAAGCTGACGTAGAGTTCATTCAACCTATGCAATTACAAAAAGCACTGCATTGTATTGTTTGGATTATCCAAAATCATTTTTTTTCTCAGGATATACAAGGCCTACAGCGAGGTAACCCAGTGGAAGGGTCACTTAAGCACCTAAACCCATTCTTGGAGGAAGCGTCAGGTTATCAACTCTTAAAGGTAGGAGGGCGTCTCGCACTTAGTGACATTGCCAGGGGTCAGCGACATCCGATTCTACTGCCTAAAGGCTGTTATTTTGTGGAATTGTACGTTCGGCATCTTCATCTGAGCAACTATCATGCAGGAGCCAAGGCATTAATCGCCCTTACTCGACTTAAATTTTGGATACTAAACATTCGCGATATTGCGCGTCGAACGGTTCGGTCTTGCATTCACTGCGTGCGTTACAAACCGAAATTGCTTGGTCAAATAATGGGTAACCTTCCTATTGAACGCGTCACTCCCAGTAGGCCATTCGCTCGTACAGCAGTAGATTTTTGTGGGCCAGTATTAACGTATCTTGGTATTCGGGGAAAAGCCCCATTCAAAACGTATATAGCTATCTTCGTCTGCTTATCAACAAAGGCGGCACACATCGAGGCAGTGTCAGATTTAACTACGGACGCCTTTATCGCAGCACTAAAAAGATTGATCGGCAGAAGGGGACTGCCATCAGATATCTACTGCGATAATGCAACAAATTTTGTTGGTGCTAGCAACAAGCTGGCTGACTTGAAAAACTTTTTATTTAATAAAACTAACCAATCTAATTTGCAGACTTTTTGCACCAACCAATTCATCAATTTCAATTTTATACCGCCTAGGACGCCTCACTTCGGTGGGCTATGGGAGGCGGCTGTGAAAATTGCTAAGGGCCATCTGAACCGAACCCTTGCAAACACTCGTCTTACGTTTGAGGAACTTGGAACAGTACTGATTGAAATCGAGGCCATACTTAATTCGAGACCAATATCACCGCTGTCTTGCGATCCAAGCGACTATGATGCATTGACACCAGCACATTTTCTTATCGGCGGCCCACTTAAGACATTACCGGAATCAACATCTCAATATGATAAATTGCCACTAGCAGATAAGTGGGTCCGTGTGAAGGCTGTAAAACATCATTTCTGGCGCCGATGGGCTCGAGATTATCTAAACGAGCTGCAGACACGTACCAAATGGACAAAGGAACAATCAAACGTCAGCAATGGAACATTAGTAATAATCCACGAGGATAATATGCCCCCACAACGTTGGCTGATGGGAAGAATCATTCACTGTGTAAACGGTCCAGATAAGCATATTCGCGTAGTCGATCTGCAGACATCCAAAGGAGTCATCCGTCGACCAATCCACAAACTTGCACTATTGCCAGCTTGAAATCCTTTCAAGGGGGGCGGGATGTTGGAGCACGGTGCTTTGGTAGATTTAGCAAGTTGAGTTTGTAAGCATTTTAACATGTGTACGAATAATGTAGAGCAAGATCAATACCAGTTTTGAGTCATTTCTTTTACTCATTTGAGCTTTCAGCTCTTGACATTCGCACTCAATTATTCGTACGCATGTTAATTTGCAACTTGAATGCTATTGTAATATAAAAAGCCTCTTTTGTTCTCTTTGAAAAGTGTGTAAAGAAAGACAGTCTGAGCGCTAAAATTAAACAGTAATGTTTTATAAATAGTTAAAAAAAATAAAATATATATTATATGAATTGTTACGTGTGTAATTAAGTAAATAAATCGTAAACTACAATAATTTGAACAAAATTTGTATTAATTTTTTAAAGCAATTTATTTAAGTGAATAAATTAGCATCACCTCGTAAAAGACATTGTTAGTATTTGATAAAATATAAGTAATAATTATTGTAAAGAAAAAGACTAATACTCAAAACATCATAAAAAAGCTTATGATTAGACACTCTGAAAGATGAAAAATTCGCTGAATTACCACACAAACTACAGACGGACAGCATGCACCACTACGCAATTAATTCCACAACCCTAATTCTTGTCGTTGGAGCCATCATATGGATGATATGGAAAATAAAGCAGGTAAAGCGTCCAGAAGTCAATCAGCCAACACAAACTCTCACACCAAACGCGATGCCACGAACAAGATTTACTTTGGAGCCTGAAACAATTACATAGCTTCTCAAAGTCTCATGATGCTATAAACTCTAAATTTTATATTTTTAAGTTTATATAATATTGTATAACTATTTATTGTTTAAAAATTATATGTGTATTTATATATCCACAAAATGTTGTAATTATTTTAAAATTTTGTCTGTTGATTTTTAAAAAAAAACACATAACGCATTGCAAATCAAATCAATCATTGCTCATAGATTCATTCTTGAATAACGTAATTCAAGCCGGGCAGAATGTTAAGTTTAACAAACCTAACATATTTTAGCTCGCTTGTAGTTACACTTATGCAGCAAATAAATATTGTAAATATTAAATACATACAACAGCGTTGTATGGTCAGCCAAATTTCAATAAATTAAATAAAAAAATTTTTGTCTTTGCCTTTCTTTGCTATTCGAATCGGTCTAACTTTTAAATAGTTTCTTTCGTCATAAAAAGACACGCCATTATCGGCAAGAAAAAATTTACCTTAAAAATTAAATACATTGTTTACGTTTATAAGTTCAATAGCTTCACATATTGTATTTATGCTTATGCAGCAATATGTGAAATTTAAATTATTATTTTAGTCATCAATAATTGTAAATATTATTATGCTTAGTAAGTAATTCTATACTATATAAGGTAACAATATTGATAATAAAACTTGAGAGCGAAAACAATCGTCTTTCCTTCAAAATCAAAATTTGGTTATTTGTAGATGTGCCTTTTAACCACTGTAGCAATAAATAAAAATTATTTACTTACTTGGCTAGCGGTTTATGTGCCTGCAAGCCTTTCGTCATAAATACCTGATTATTGGTTTATGTGCCTAATAGTCAGTGTAACGAAGTAAGAAAATACATTATTTGATACTACTTCAGATTACGTGGTATACAAACTTAATTACAACTAAATTGAAAGGAACAGCTATCAATTTAATAGCAGGAACAGAAGTAAACATACAGCAAATAATTAATAAACTCAGAAATACGGTTAAGGGTGAATCTGTGGACGTCATCACAGCAAAAATAATGAATATAAGGCAGAGTACAAAATCTGCCAATTCATATGCTAAAGAAGTAGAGGATCTCACAAAAAAGCTGCAAAGTGCATATATAACGGATTGACTTACTTCGCAGTTGGAGGATACATATACCACAAAAACAGCATTGAAGGCAATCATCAAAAACACAAGCAACGACAAAGTCAAACTGATAATGGAATCAGGACAATTTAATAATATGAATGAGGTAGTTGCAAAATTCGTGAACAGCTGCACTGAAGTATATGGTAACCAAAATACCATACTAAATTTCAGAACCCGCAACAGCAACTATAGAGGTAATTATCAATACAATAACTACAATAATTACCATGGACGAGGATACAGACAAAACAGAGGACGTTTTGTCAGAGGAAGAGCCAATTATCAAAACAATTATAGGCGCGGTGTACCAAATTATAGAGTTAATCAGCCGAACCAGTATAGGAATGTAAGATTAACACAGAATTTGGAAAACAACGAAACCCCAAATACTCAATAAACAAAATAAACAATAGTAAAGTCTTCAATATAAAATTAAATTTAGCATCTCTACTTAAACTAAATACCACACTTAATAATAATGAATCATCATTTATAGTTGATACAGGTGCATATATCTCAATAATTAAAGAAAACCAGATTTCAAACTTGCGTGAACTATCTACGCAAGAAATAACAAGCCTACACGACATAGGGAAAGGTGAAACAAAAACAATTGGGAAAATAGATACAGATTTAAAATTTAAAAATATATTAATCCCACATGAATTCCATGTGGTTAATAATAACTTTCCTATTCCAACCGATGGAATAATTGGTCTAGATTTTATCAAAAAATACAATTGTATTCTTGATTATTATAAAAATCAAGATTGGATAATAGTAAGACCAGACAATTTTTATGACATAGAAATACCAATGTCAAATGGCGATATTATAGCAATACCGCCAAGAACCGAAGTCATTAGAGAATTTAATATTGACACTGCAGAAGCAGAAGTTTTAATTCCAAAACAAACAATTCAGGAAGGAATATACATAGCAAACACAATTGCAAAAAGTAAACCCGCACTGGTCAGAGTTATAAATACAACTGACAAATCAGTGTTAATACACAATGTTAAACTAAAAATAGAAAATCTACACGATTATGATAAGGTGTCAATCCAATCATCTCAATCAAATAAAATATCTGTTAACAACTTTTATAAACAAAAGTTGAGATTGAAAAATGATGAACCCATATACGTAAAAAACTACAGAATACCGCAGACACATAAAGACGAAATAACAAAACAAGTCGAAAAACTAGTTCACGACGATATAGTGGAACCATCAGCATCAGAATACAACAGCCCAATATTACTAGTACTGTAGCATACATAATAATATAAACAATAACTTCCGTTACTCATTTCATGTGTGGTCTACTTGAGAAAAGTATTATTCACTTATTCTTAAGTCACACCATATTCGCAACAGCATTAATTGCTGATCTTGCAATTATGAGACAAAGCACTTTGAGTTGCTTGTGTATGCTGCGCCGCTCTTAGAGTACAGAAGTATTTGAGACGTTGCCTGAGCAACAACGTTTGATTATGAAATAAATAAAATATTGAATATATTGATAATAACAAAGACTTGTTTTAATAATATCTAAATAAGATAATAAGAAGATATTACATGGCGATCCTGCCAGTTACGTGTATCGGTATTATTATAGTTACGGAAAAAAAAAAATCTATACTTATCAGTGCTAATTAATCTAATTTATTAAAATGGGTGGCAAATCCTCTAAGGCAGCGGATAATACCGCTAACGTAGTTACAAACATTTAAATAGAGGAAGATAAACTAGATGTGAAATTAGTGCAAAATTTATTAATAATTATAGCAATCGCTTCAGTGATTGGAATAGTGATAAAAATATACAAACTACATAGAAATCATCTTAAGAGCTACTACAAGCGGAAATTAGCCGCAGAAAATGTAGCATTAAACAAACATAAAAAAAAAAATGTGAAAAAGACTAAAAACTTTAAAGTGAAAATTTTGAACAAAAAGTATATTTTTATATAAAGTTATAATTAATAAATTTTGTTTTTTTTAACAAATATCCAAATACAAGATACTTAATTTAAATACTCTAATAAATAAAATGTATTGGATACATTAACTTGAGCCAATTGGCATATGAAAAGAGAACACTTTCAAAACAAATTGAAAATTTTTATAAAATAAACCAAAGCAGTGACAATAGCAAAGCAGCGACAACAGCAAAGCAGCAAAGCAGCGTGTAATGAACCTAATTTTTCCTAGCCGGGGTAGTTCTCAGCCTAGTCCATGGTCTTACAAGAAAATTTCTATTCGCGGGGACCCAGCGTTCAACTACTGTAGTTTCTACCGTTGAAGTAAGATGCCGTACAACAAAGTAATTATTTTAGAATTCAAGTTTTTTTCTTTATTGAACAATTTGTAATATATGTATAACAATCAATGTATTTTAAATAAAAAAAACAATTTATCAAATAATATCTTTACAATTACTCGTAGGTAATAATAAGCAAATAATATTTAACTGATTTCAATTTTTTAAAAAAAAATAATATTAATTAATCATATTTTAAGTTTAACGTTTTATAAATGCATTTTTGTGTTCACTTAAATACAACAAAACTTAAAAAAAAAACTCATAAAATGTTTTTAAATAAAAATATAAGGGAAGAAGAATTTCTATTAAGCGTAGTCGTGTGAAGATTACTTTGATATTTCACTTAGAATTTTCTGTAATATTTTTACATTCCTTAAATGTGGATTAAGTAATTAAATTTTTAATGTTACACTTTATAATTAATTAAGATTATGTTTGCATATAACAGAATACATTTTTTTTCACAAATATCTTGTTTTCAGTTGTTTAATTTCAATTTTTACAAAGATACATTTTTTTTCATAGATTCTATTTCATAAGAACTAATAATTCATGAGCTTGTTGTGTTTAGAAAGTTTATGCTCCTATGCGCTTAACTTGAAGCCTTTACGATTGTGATTGCCTTGTTGTTACTTTTCTCATTTCCATTCAAATGAGTAAAATTTGTAGGTATTCAATTATACAATTTGGAATTTGTTAATTTTTAAGCAATTCGTCCGATTTAAATAAAATAACTTATAAATTCGCGCTTATACATTGAAGTTACTTACG